AAATAAGAGCCAACTCAAGGAAAAAAAAGATGAAAAACGGAAACGAAAGTATGCTACTTTATGATTATAAGTAGTCTAAATTTTGCCCTAATTTTAAACATTATTTTTGGCAATTAGATAGGTGGCTTTTATTTCAATCATGCATTCGAATTCATCCACTGGTTTTTCGTGAAGAGATTCTTATCGAAAAGGTATAAAAAGATAATCATAAAACAAAATTATTGAGTGTTTTGTCCTTGACATTAATTAAAGGTACACAAGTTTGGTTTCAGGAAATATTCACAATGTCGGTAATTAATTTGTATTTAAGTTCACGAAAGCAGGTTGTGAACGAATAAGTAGAGAAAGTATTTAGTGTTCAGTAAAAATAAAGTCAGGTTGAAAATATTAACCCGTAGGTTATAGGATCTAGAACTGTTGAATATGTGTGTGAAGATACACAGGTTAGTATATAAACTACAATTAAAGACTGATTTAACCATATTCTACTCTGGATTGTACAATGTGTTAATAAATGGTTATTCTGTCCCTACAATCTGGTTCTCAATTGTCGATTGGATATTTTGTATCTGTATATCACATGATTTAGCATAGCGATCAAATTATTTATGATATCGATCGCGTGATAATTTATAACATTCAGTCTACTGTTTAGTGCATTAAAACTTATCATCTATTATTCAGTACATGGATACGAATGATTTTAGTTTTTCCGTTACAAAAAGAACAGTATTTTTAACGATGTGGATTATTAAGTCATATTCAAAACTATAAAGGCAAAAAAAAAGCAATGAAACAAAAAACAAAAGTAGGCCATGTATGTCAAAATGAGCTGAATACTAATAATGGTTTAAAACAATAGGAATGGAGCTATTCATGTTCGATATATTACTAAGAATACTTTTAAACATATGAAGTAGTACTGTATACCTATGACATTAACTCTATATTTTTAAGTAACTTGGTTAGTTTGGTAGAATTTATGTCACATTAGTTGAATAATCAGATTCATGTTTCTATTTATTTATTGATATATATCTTGATCAGTGAAATAAAGCCTCCAAATGTCCTAGTACGACCGCGAGTGGGGAGATTCAACTCTCCCTCTTGAAATGCTCTCACATGGCCACGTGCATACAACCACTGCCAGGGAATTCCTACCCACTGCCTTCCCGTGGCGGGAGTGTTGTTAACGAAATTGAGAGGACGAAAAGCGAATGTCTGATGCTTTAACCAGGTTGGTGGAAATAGAGGGTCCACCTAGGGGAGTTAGAAAACCCTGATTCCAAACCAATGGTGCACATGGGCTCCAGTATTCTAAAGGGACAAATGGCGTATGAACCTATTGTTGGTCACCGGCTATCATGGGACTGCATCTCCTGACGTTGCTCCACTGCTTTGTGGATAAGACCTCTAGGTCAAAGGATCCGAGTGTGCCCCCCCAAGAAAAGCACCTGCTTTGGTTCAGGCACCCGAGTAGTGTTCCAGTACTCACACAGATGGAATGATCTATGTGGCTCATATCTATTTAGTGCCTCCTTGTACCAATGTTTATGTGTTTAAAAAAAATAAATAAAATAAAATTGCTTTATCTATATATATATAGATAGATAGATATAATGTGGTGGTTCTAATCCATTTATTCCATTAATCATTGATCGCTTTCATGAAGCATCTTCTATGGTGAACTGAAGAATTAAGGGCAGACAAATGTTCTTTAGTTTACCATAAATTCTAAAGAGTGAGATCAATTAAATATATTTATACTTTGATAGTTTTGAACAGTTCTAATTCACGTTAACAAAAGTATCCGATGTTACCTGGTCATATTACTGTTCACCTACTTACTAATTACTAATTAATCTTCTATCTGTATTTGTAATCTATACTTGGATACTTTAATGTAGAAAATTTTCTCAACTGAATGTAGTTAAGTCAGTAACGCAGGTAAAACTTTTAATCGTTAGTAAGTGATTGAAAATGTCACTTTATTTAGTTGTGCTAACAAGTGAAATGGACAAGCCGATGGAAACCATTGAGTAGAGTTACCAATTAGTCCTCCAATAGTCCTCCTAATAGTAGAAACACTTTGAAATCAAGATAATTTTTGTTCTTAATCCTATAGAGTTTGTAGTCGCTTCATCACATGCAACTTTAAACATTTTATTCCATTCTTGCCAGTTGTAACTTCACGTAAAGCCTCTCTGGATCTAGTATCGGTCGTAAGCCCATATAAAGAAGGAGGCTTAACAACTGTACTTCGTAAAAAATTATCCACTCTACGAAATCGCCAACCACAGAGGACTAGTTATACTTTGTCCTAGGAGTTGACGCATTTCCATATAGAAGAATTATGACACCATATGGTGAGAGCCAAGAGTCTCCAAAGATCATCAGGCTCAAGACCCATCTGACAATTAAGAAATGGGATGTCTAAACAATCTAGAAGACAAGGAGAGTCACTAAGATAGCGGCTGAAATGAGAAGCTATAACCTGGATTTCTTTAAAATAAGTAAAACTAGTTGGAAACAAAATCAACAAGAGGGACTAATTTTAAGAGAGATGATCTTGTGTTGTGGTTACAGAGTATAAAACACCATATCGACTTAGAAAATTGTACTGGTAAGGTCCAGAGAAGCACATGAAGAGCTTACAGGATGTGAATCTTGTGGCTCTTAAAGCACCAAATATCCTTTAAAACAAAGAAGGAAAATGTTGAAAAGAATGCCATTCAGTTCTGTACATCCACCGACGATAGCGCTAAAGAGGAAAAAATTAGTTTTATGAGAGGGTGTGGTCCATTTTAGAGAAATGACAAGGAGAAGACCAAACAACTATAAACAAGGATTTGGATCCCAGGGTTGATAAGGACATCAGCGGATATAAAGACATCATGGGGCGACATAGACTTGGAGAAGGGAACGAGAATGGTGAGAGTCTTACAAATTTGTGTACTTTTAACAACATGGTTATAGGTGACGCAATTCTCCTCACAAACGCAAGGATAAAGCTATGTAGGTTTCTCCAGGAAGTATTACGGAGAATCAGATCGATAATATTTGCATCAAGCAACAACTATGGAGAACTATGGAAGACTTAAGAACAAAGAGAAGAGCTGATATAGGCTCAGATCACCAAGTGGTGGTAGCCGAAACGGTATTAAAGGTAAAGAGGCACTGAACAGTTAGGCAATCAGCATTGTAACAGTTTAACACAGACTCCTTTCCACATGTTAACAGACTCAGAAAGCTTAGCATAACTCTCGGTAACAAATCTCAAGTTTTACAAGATATGCACATAGAAGAAAGAACCACTAAGAAGAATACCTGGAAACGAATTAAAGAAGAGGTAACTTCAACGTTCTAAAAGGTCGTGGACCCTGAGAAACACCAGCATAAAGAACAAAGTTGTCAAGTACACATCTTAGTTTGTTTGTCCATCTTCTAATTGATCGAAAATTTTCCAAACGCTTCTTTTGAGTTTGGTACCTTAAACGTTCATCTTAATTTAATCTGTAACTGCAATGTATCCAAAATATAATCATCGATGAATAATATTGACTGGTTTACTTATGTCATTGGCAAAAGAAAATATATAAAATTATTTAGGAAGATTTTTATCATAGTTGAAAGCGTGAGTCAATTGAAGCTAGACCACCATGGGAAACCTGGAAACATTGGAAGATTTTTACGTTTGAAGTCAGATCTTAAAAAAATTTCCGGATAAAATAATCCATCCCTACCATATACTATTTAACATAACTTATTAGCAAATGGATGGATAATAATGTATATGGGAAAATGAATAAGTTATTTTATATTTGTTCTTTAAATTGGACACTAAATGTTATGAATTTAAAAGGCCGTCGCCAATTTGTTGTGATTTTATGTCGAGCCAGTGGAATTCTACCAAGTCTGTTGTAGAGATATCAAATCACTGAAGACAATTGGTGAACGGTCGCTCAAAATCGTGGATTGGTTGAAGTTAGACATTAACACCGTTGGATGCTGGCCGTCTCAGTGGTCTATCGATCAAGTGCTCTGGCGCGAGACTGGTAGGTCCCGTTTTCGAATCTTGCGAGTACGGGATCGTGGATGCGCACTACTGAGGAGTGCCATAATAGGACGAAACGGCTGTCCAGTGCTTCCAGGTTTTCCATGATGGTCTAGCTTCAGTTGACTCATGAATTCAACTATGAAAATGTATAAGTTATTTTATATGTATTCTTTAAATTGGATACTAGATGTTATGAATTTAAAAGGTCATCGCCAATTTGTTGTGATTTTAAGTCCGGCTTTTTATCAAGCAAATAATCCACCAATCGGAATATAACCTTTCCAATCTTAGCACTGTACCAAACCAATGACGTTCAACCAGTATGAGCAGTCTAACGTTCTTGTTGGTCGTTTGTCTGTCTAGCCCTTCCAGTTGAGTCTAGAATACCAATAACAACTCCTGCTATGCGAATCATTTATTTCGAGCATACTTGATTTAAATACTAGACAGATAGACTGCATCGCACCATAAAATAGAAAATAATATTTGTACAAGATCAAGCCAAAAGTGGCTGTCAAGGTGAGAGACAGTAATCATTAAACTGAATATAACTTAGGAACAGGAAATCGTATAATAATAATCCATAGATGAAAATGAAGCTTATAATAAGATGAATATAGATACATACAACTTAATCATTAAATAGTTACACAATAGAAATATACATAGAATAATAGTCAATTACTAGATTCCGGAAGTTATCCGTACTTTCATTATCACTAGGATATAATACTAGAACTTATTGATGTTTTTTTTTGTTTTTTCAGGTAACTTTATACATTAGATCATAGTTCTAATAATCGGATCATAATCTAAATTTTTTTGTTGTTGTTTGATATACACACTTGGTGTATACTTTAAGGATGATCAAAAATCATAAAGAAATAATCACCAAGTGTATATATACACATTATAATATTATCCAATTATTGTCATTTTAATCATGTTTTGTTTTATATTATTACTATTATTATTGAACATTGTCTATGGCTATGAATTAAATCCATTGAAGAATGAACATATTGAACCGTTATTTGAAAAATTGATCAAATATGTAAATCAGAATGTAAGTAGTTTGTAAACTATTCTTTATTTTAAATTCACATAGTATTGTTTGTTTGAATCTTCTTATTGATGTTTAGGACTGCAACTGGTCAGTTCCTTATTGGCATATGAGCATACTGTGCGTATTGCCTCGATATAGCCTTATTTCATAAGCATGGTAAGCAAAGATGGATAGTGGTTAGCAGTGGAATCCAGGATGCGCGTTTTATCCTATTTGGGGACTTGTCAGTTGGATGTACCTGTATTTGAGTTGATGTTCACTCTGGGACTCGAACCCAGTACCTTTCGCTACAAACGTCATCGCATTATCCACTCAACTACTGAGTCCTGAGTCCCAGAGTGAACATCAACTCTGAGATGCAGGTACATCCGGCTGAAAAGTCCCAAATAGGATGAAACACGCGTCCTGGATTCCACTGCTAGTCACTATCCATCTTTGATTAATGTTCTTTATTTTATTTCTTTTTAAGTAATATGGTAATTTGAACGAATCATATAAACAACATTAAACTCAAACTGTGGATCCGTAGAATGATTACAGTTGACTGTAATTCATTAATAATTATTGTATAATCTGATTAACCAATTTATCATTAACAATATGACAATAATAGACAATTGTATTGCTTCAGTTTAATTAATGATACATCCTATACTAATTAACTGTTTGTTTTGTTCACTGATTACACTGATTTTAGAAAAAAGTAGTTTTTCAAAATTATCTCTTTGAATTTGAAGTAACATTTGTATTTAAAATCTGATAGTTCTAATCTTAATTTCATTAGTAATTGGGCATCAGGAACTGTTGAATAATGATAAGATTGAAAATAAACGTTTGTACTTATAGATTATTATTTATTAGTTGAATTCATTAGTCAATTAAAGCTAGACCATCATAGAAGTGAGATTTGAATCCTGAGAGTGAGATAGTGGATGCGAACTGCTGAAGAGTTCCATACTAGGATGAAAGGGCTGTACAGTGCTTCCAGCTTTTCCATAGTAGTCTAGCTTTAATTAACTCATAAATTCAACTATTAAATTACTATAATATCCACATAACCCCTTTCTGATAATATTATTTATTAATCAACTGTTTACAATCATACATTTTATATATATAGAACCATAATCTCTAATATCATCTTATCCATCATTCCAACTATTTTTAGCCAGGATTTGGATGGAGAGCAGGAATTAATAGTCGTTTTAGAAATTTAAAAGATACTAAAAAATTATTCAAAAATAACATTAAAATTAAGGATTTAGGTGGGAAACGAATTCAAACAATTTCCCATAGAAATGTGAATATGGTTATTCCTATTACATTTGATGCAAGAGATCATTGGGTAAACTGTTCAACTATTAAACAAATTCATGATGAATGTTGCTGTAGAGCAGATTGGGTAAGTCTGAAAAAGTATCTCATCTTTCGTTATATAAATGCTTATAAATGAAGTGTTCATTTATCAGTGTGAAAGTGTAATTACCAGTAAACTTTGAAGAAGGACAAATCTTGATCTGGACATGACAAATATAAAACATTGATTCAGTAGCTAGCCATGAAAACTTTTACTTAAAGGACAATATCGCCTAGACAAGAAGCGTACAATTTTACTTTTTTTGTACATCACAAAAACCATTTTTCGTTAAATTAAGATCTTTGTAGTAAGCTATGGATAGAGTAGCTAGATTTGAGTGGAACACTTCTTTGCTTCCAATTGATTAATCATTTCTTCTCAAAGGTTTAAAATGGTGTAGGACTTATTTTACATACAGATATCTATTTCAAACACGTTCCATAACACTGTTTAACCGCATAGTTTGGGGTTAGCAACTGCTATAAGAATAGGTAAAACTTGATCAGTAATATTTTATCTGTTTCTCAAATATAAATTACAATAATTAGTACAAAACTACACAGTAAATATAGTTGTGAAACATTATTTCACCTCTTCATTGTTTTCATCACAACTGGTACATCTACCGTACGTTCTACTCATTATGTTTAGTTATGTAATCTATTCCATTTTTGTTCACTAACTCACAGTCTACCTCGATCAGTTTAATGGTTTCATATATGCACATTAATATTACTGTATATTAAAGTCTAATGAGTACAAGTTTTTTTGATTGGAAGTTAAATAAAGACAGATCACATCAAGGTTAGAATGAGACTGAGTAGTGTGCATCTAAACAAATGTTATTGATCACTTAATTTATGGACTATAGCTAACAAATGAGATGTTTGTTTAGAGGATGTGAAATTCCACTTTGAATGAATTGTTTCCATAAATATTGATTGGTCAGTACTGTTTTACAAAAGATAAAAACCAAAGATATTTTACCCAGTAAATTTATTAGTAACTTTTTGAGTGGTTTTATTATAAAACAACTAAGTAAACTCACTTAGTATTGTTTGTTTGAATCTTCCTATTGATGCTTAGGACTGCAACTGGTTGAACATCAACTATGAGATGCAGGTACATCCAGATGACGAGTCCCAGATAGGACGAAACGCACATCCTGGGTTCCACTGCTAGCCACTATCCATCTTTGTTTATAGCTAAGTAAAATGTTTCATTTATTGGAACTTTGATGTTTTCATGGCTAAAATGAAATCTGTAGCAAGATTGTAACTATTGTCCACTAGTATTCATATTATTGATCTCAGGAATTTTTTCCGTTATTTCTTTAACTACTTTGAGATGATCCATAGCGTCTATCACCAGACATTTAATCTTACAACAAAGTCAGTAACTAAAAATAAGGAGGAAACTACACTCCCTTATTTCTATGACAAAAGTAAGTACGATAAGGAAATGAAATAAATATTATGAATTAATTTGAATCTCTTGTTAATTTTATTGTTTCATTTGTATAATCAGTAGATTGTTCCCTGACTTTTCTTGGCTTCTATCTGTCTACTTAAGAAATGTTCTCAGTAATTAAACTGAGAATTTTTTTGTTTGAAGCAATTTGTTTCTATACTTCGCATTCATATTACTTTATTTGTCAAGTGATAAGTGCAGATTCACATTACTTACTTGAAAGCTGTTTCTCATTAAATATAGTCAATGATTACTGAATAGATGTTTAAATCCAGTCCAAGACTCTTCCGAATGTAAATCAATGCTTCTTATACCAACATACTCAGGATCATCATGTTTCGATATGAATATGATACTATTCATTTAGTTAGTTATACTACGACAGTTCACTTTTTCATAAGTTCAGTCTGTTACAAAACTACATCGACGAAACAGTTAGTTCGTTATATATATATATATAAATTATGGTAATCAGTCGATGCATTTACAAGCTCTTATGAAAAGGCTGATACATATTATTGTATGTACAAAAGATAAACTCTTAAAAAGCTCTTGAAAAAGTTTGGTCTGAAAAGTTGTTCAGCTTAAAATATAGTAGGAAATATTAGGGTAAATTAAGCTCAAAGAAACTACATTGTTTAGCATTTGAAAAATAAAATTTGTGATCAAGTACAACTAATTAATTGTTCATTTCTTTTTATATTAAGGTAAAAACATAATGATCATGTGTTTGAGAATTTAGAGGTTTTAAGACGCTTGTTTAAACGCCCAACCACACGACTGAAATCCTTATGAAATCGAAGTTCAAAACGAAGATTTATTGAGAAAACGGTTTAACATTACAAAATATGTGTGGATTACCTTCAAATAACTACTCTTAAGCTATCTGTTTCAGTTAGTTTGTCTGTATATATGGAAGAGAAAATGTGTTTTACGATAATTACAACATACGATAGAGTAAATAACAACTGGTAGCTGTGTCTAACATCAATAATAACTATCGACAAATGACACACAAATACGAAAGCTGTTAAGATCAAAAAACGGCAGTTATATGCTATAAGTGTTGAGAGAATACGATTACGATAATAAATAAAGTGACTGTTACTTGTTTGTATAAACACTCAGGACTATTACACGATCATATATCCTCAAACGTTTTTAGAACTGAAACAAGTTACTGAATATTGACAAGTAGTATAAAGTAATACATAAAAAAGGAGTTGAATACGCAGAATATAAAGACAATGAAAATGAACTTAACAATTATACGGTCGCATGAGAAAGAAAAGGTACTATAATGAAAATACGTTGTTAATTACTAAGACCAAACAGTAAGCAAATTATTTTCCGGATATAGGTCATATTACTTATATCTATTCTTAATGTACTTGACACAACAGTGTACAAACTAAAATGTCGACACTATGAAAAGTAGGAAAATTAAATGTTATTGGTTTTTATAGATTGACGACTGTTTTGTTAACAAAAACTACACAGCGAATGTATTCTGATGCGTTAATTTCCAGTTATGCTAACTATTTTGTGACTTGATAGACAGACAAACGTTAAATTAGCGTACCAGAATTTGTAGTAGTGTTTATATTTTAAAGAAATGCTAAATTCAAAGCTGACTTTTATATTATAGATGCCGTAATTCCTTGCTTAAATTTTAAAACTTCTGCTAATTTATTACAGGTATTCGCAACTGTCAACTCAATTAGTGACAGAATTTGTATTTATTCAAATGGTAGAATTTCTACACAACTAAGTGCTCGTAATGTAATAAGCTGTGGTTTTAGCCCAGGGTGTTCTCATGGTAATGAATTAGAAGTTTTAGTGTACTGGATTGTAAATGGTATTGTTACCGGTGGATCATATGAAGATCAAAGTGGCTGTCAACCTTATCCTTTTTCAAAATATCCTGAGTGTAAAGATGTGAATTATGAGTTCCCGCCGTGTACGAACGAATGTCAAGATGATTATAACAAGACATATGAAGACGATAAATTTTATGGTAAGAATATTTAACAGGTGATATTTACTACTTAAATTTAAAAGAATACATCGTTTAAAAAGGGGTAAATAATTCACGTTTTTCAGTAATCACTTCTCAGTTTGGTTTCACTTTTATGTATCATTACCATATGTAGCCTAGATTTAGACTGAACTGTTTTAAAACCTATGACTTTGGTTAATAAAGCTTATAACTATCACTTAATAAAATTCCATTGAATGGACGGGATATATTGGTGTAATATTATCCATTCAAATATTCGTTAATAACTAAAACTTACATGGAAAATTAATAAGACTACAAAATATATACCATCAAATATCTTATTTCTATGTACCATTTGTGAAGTTTACTTTGTTAAGAAGATGCTAGGTTATCTAGTTTTGTAAATAGTTGATAGTTCTTTTTGTAGTAATAGTTACGAGTACAATTTTCCAATACATATTCTTTCTTGAAATTTGCCACTTACAGTTTGTTAACGTTGTCGTGTGTCTTAAAGTCATACTGTTTATCATATATGCAGTTGTTCTAAGTTAAGTGTCAAGTTTTCTTCTGGACTGTTGCCTTCTATCACTGGGGTTTATTATTGAAGAGTTGTGTATCATTTATCACCCTATCAACTTAGCAATGAATTTTATTTTAATTAATCAATATAGATCCGTACCGAACCTAGTCTAAAGGAATGACATATTAAATTCATTCACCTTACGTTTGATTACTTCTTTATACATGGTTTCCAGATGTTTACAATCCATATAATAGATATTTTTCTATCCAATTTATTGTATAACTTTTCTATTTGCTATGAATTCCTTGAAGAAGTTGATGTTGTTGGGACTATGAGATTGATTGTAAGGATTACTAAGCTAACTTTGAACTTGTATTTTGTTAGTCGAATGTCTAGTAGCAGTGTTTAGCGAAAAATTTATTACTTTCTAAATGTTAACATTTGTATGTAAATGTATAATACTTTAAAGTATTTAACATAATTAAGTTTGATTATCTAGACAGAATGTATTATGATTACTCCTGGGAAATAAAAGTTAACCCTTACCATTTACTTAACTAAGTGCTTTCATATAAAACATACTCAGTTATTACCTCACTAACTCAACACTTAGCAAGAGGCAAAACAATTACCAAGATCTAGTAGTCGTAAATGGTAGACTTAAGATACGTTGGGAGTGAATTAACTGTACTCAATGAGATTGGATGATAGTCACGTTACATCAGAAATTGATTGAGGTTGAAATGGTACCATCAAACGTCAACCAAGCAGTTCTAACAGTTAAGCGTGGAACGCTGATGTAAACCGTCAGCTTGATAATAATAAATCAACAGATCGATAAGAAGAAACTACTAACTATCAACGAAATAACCTGAAGATAAATATACTAAGCGTTAAACGAAAAAGTAATCAACACAAGAAAAGAGGATAGTGTAGGAACCACTGCCTATTAACTAGCTAAAATAAACTTCACTAATTACTCATTAACTGTAGTCCAATTCTAATTATTTGTGAAGATGCACTATAAATGAAGTGTGAAACTGTTTTAAAATCTCTCCTCATGAAAAATCAAGTCAAATAAATAATAAAATAGCAAGAGCAACAACAATTTGAAACTGAAACTTTCAATGTGTTAAATGTTCAACGATTCGCATAGGGTGAAAAAAACAGATTCAAAACGAACTAACAATTCAAACAGTAGCAAGATAACAAATGAGTAAATAAATTTGTTTGTTCTGAAGAAGTGGCTAGCATTAAGTCACGAAGTGTCAGAAATACAATTTTTTCTACCCATTGGAATATAATAATACATTTTTATCGTTTTAAAAGTGTTAACCAGTTGTTTTGGAATCTCAATACTAATAATTATTATCTAATGTTGGTTAGGTGAAAAAATTTACAATGTTTATGCTGATCAAGAGGATATTCAAAAAGAAATTTTAATGAATGGTCCAGTTATAGCAAGTATTTTAGTAAAAGTAGATTTTTTGTTCTATAAATCAGGAGTTTATTTTCCAACACCTAAATCAAGTAATTTAGGTTGGATAAATTTACGAATAATTGGTTGGGGTTATGAAAGAAAAACACCTTATTGGTTATGTGCGAATTCGTGGAGTAAACAATGGGGTGAAAATGGATATGTAAAAGTTCGACGTGGAGTACAAGCAGGTTATATTGAGTCATATGTTAGAGCACCAATTCCAAAAATATAGACAATATTCTATATGTAAATTCAGACTTTTATCTATTAATTATTAATAATTACTTACAAATTCCTTCCTATTCTTTAACAATGTGCTATGTTCTGAATTCGTCAGATTCGGATGCAGATATATATGTCCTTGAGATATATTAGCTACGACATTAACGAAGCGCGTTATCAGATTCATCTAATCATATGCCTTGTTTATAATTTCATCTTGAACATAGATATTTGATATGGCTAGTTTCAAATAGCCTATCACTACTTATTATAGTCTAAATCAAAGACCTTTGTTATAACATCTTTAATATTAGTGTATATCAAATATTGATATATTAAAACATGTGTATCATATCACTTCACTTCTCAAAATCCTCATTCATCACCTACTTTGGAATAGAATAAGAACAATACTGACGTTAATCAAAATCTTATTTTGTGAGTACGTTGAACCACACAATTGATGCTATGGGCTTGGTTACATGTTGACTGCAACAGTATGTTAGTATAGAAATTTAAAACTTGCTCTAAAAATGTACTATTATTAGATTAAAATAACCAGTATGTTCCCATAATCTAACTTTGGAGTACACGTTAAGCCAAGTGGTTATAGATTAAGGTGAAATCAAGGAGGAAATACATATTTGGGGTTACCGAAAGACAGTGACGGTTAGGTATCCGTGCTTGTGCGGAACATAGATGTTTGATGACCATTTAGGATGATTCGTATTAAATTTTCCAGAACAGCTGTAACGTAAAAAGAAACATGACGCAAAAATTTACACAGGATACCTAATGTCAAGGGTTGAATTTTTACATCCTCTCTGAGGATCTAACAGGAAGAGACTGACAATAGCTAAAGGTATATCAATAAATCTAGAAAGTAAGAAAAGGTACCATCAATATCATTAGACACTGTAGCAGACTATAGATCGTGACAAAAATCATCAAGTAATAGTTTTACGAGTAGTAACACTCATATAATTTAAGCGGTAGTTAGAATAAGTTATCCCATCGATGGAAACCGTCTCATTTTATTTAATATGCATACATTCTGGTACAACTCTAGATCAAACGTGTTAGCGCCATACAACTAGATAGATAACAACAGAAATAACTAGGAGGGACTACAATAAAAGCCTGAACAAGAAGGATGTATGGTAGAGGATACGGTTCAAATGAAGAGCTAACCAAGAAGGACGTCTTACAACTTAATGAGTTCCTCATACTTTATGAAGAATCTAGAAAAAGTGCGGCTGAATCCTCGCTGACGTCTAATTAGATCCATGTCCGACAATCCTTTAAGCCAGAGTTGCAGTCTCTATCACCCTAAAACTCGGAGTCGTACCCGCTCTGTACAACTACTTTTCATACCACAGTGCCATCATTTGAGCCGATCATCTCTTTTTTCACTCAGTACAAGCATCCAGATATAATACACGACGTGGAGGCCGCTGGAATGACATTCGTAAAACATGTCAAGGCCACCAAAGTCGACGGTTTCAAGATCGTAAAACCAACCCAATTATCGTTGCCAAACTCGAACACATTGCTGAATCCCGGAATTAACATGGCGCCGAGACCGGATATTACTAATAGTAATATCAGTGATCCTTCAGAGATGACGATGACCAGACACGGAGAGTCGCCTAGCAACTTCAACTCGGAGGCCACGTCTCACAAACATGTAACAAAACTGCTCGCAAACAGCACATTGTAAACCTGATCTTCTACAAACGAACTAAAATCACGATGATGCCAAAGATCACTCAGATCAGCATAAGTCGCTCTCACTATACGTAGATTGATTTCACTTGTCATGTCATCACAAACAACTGTTTAAGTACACAAACTTTTCCATTACTTTTAATGGGACACAAAAAGTGAGTGTAGGCGCAGGTTCCAGCTAGTCTTACAAAAGTGTTATGAATTTAGCAGCAAATTATATGCTTCACTTATGAATACTAACTACCAACTGATTAAGTGTAATTTCCGTAGTTTGTTCAACAACACACAGTAAGACAACATCATCCACGTACTTTCATTAGGAAACTGTATACATAAGATAAAAGCGAGATTGTATTAATTGAAACTTTGAATATAATAGTTTTTAAAAAAAATAACGATGAATATACAAGAAACAGTTACATGTGTAGAATTACATATTACTACACAAGGTATATATATATATATAATCATATGGTACAGTAAATACATATCTCTTTCAATGAAATACATAAACAGAAATTATTTGCGGTTATGTTTTTTTGTTTTCTTTAAAGGTGGACAAATTGATAGAAAATTAGGATTGGATACATTCATATTAGTTAGAACAGTATATAATCGATTTATTGAATTGTTCCGTTCATACATTGAAAGGCATAATTCATCGACTAAAAATTATAATAATCGTAAAACAAAGGAACAACAACAAAATTAAAAATGTAAAGAAAAAACAAAGTAATTATTATAGGATGTCAAATAAAAGAAAATCTCTAAGTAGTTAACGATGATAAGAGTTAAGAATGTAGTTGTGTTATATCTTGATAACAATAGTGAACGGTAACTTTGGGATCCATTTATGGACCCATATTATGCATATAATTTTTATCGTATATTTGCTAAATAATTAAACTACTCATATTCATGTTCCTTTCATTGTGAGCTTTATTTTGACCCTTGGACTATTATTGTACGATTTACCATTCCTGAGTTATACCCAGTCTATTAGTTACTGCTTCTCCTATTCGCAGCCACATTTGGCCAACTCTTGTACAAATGTTATTTTCTATTTTATTGGTACGTTGTGGTCAGTCTGTTTGAAATACAATGATTCATACCACAGAGGCTGTTATTGGTGTTCTGGACTTAACTGGTTGGGCTAGGCAGAAGCAGGATCGATAAGTGCTCTAGACTGCTCGTACGGGTTTCGTGTGTCACTGTTCCAATCGATTATTCGCTGCTTCCTGATTGACGGTCTTATCAAGTCATACATTAACTAGGCATCCACTCGACCACAAGATATAACAAGTTGGTAATTTATGTACACTTTAATTTCTAATCATTGGATTTGTACGTTGAAATGTAGATTAAGACGCAAACATGTATTTACTCACACAATAATAATAACAATAACAATGCAAATTAACTGTCAAGTACAAATCTGTGTTCGGTCTAGTGAAATTACGCGTCTACTATATAATGAATTAGGTAGAATCGAGTTTAAACCAGTCACCTACCTACCACCACTGGTTAACAATTAGTGAATAATTTAATCATTAAGCTGTTGTACTTATTTAAATTATAGTATTTCTGATTATTTCTCTGATTACATATTCCATACATGGATATATTAAACGTCAGGAAGTAAAAAAGTTTAAAAACACCGACAATATTGAATTTTATGAAATTTATCAGATATTACTTATTAATGATGGAATATTTCTCTTTTATTTATTTAAACGCATAAATATTGGTACAAAGGGGCACCAGATACATATGCGTCGCACAAATCCCATTTGATTTGTGTGAGGGCTGTGTACTGCTCAGCTGCCCAAACTGAAACAGGTGGTTTTCTTAGGGGACTACACCCGGAGCCTTCGACCTAAAAGTCTGATTCACAATGCAGTGGAGCATCGTGAGTAGATGCAGTCCCATGGTAGCCGGTGACCAACGATTGATTCATACGCCATTTGTTCCCTCAGGATACGGGAGCCCATGTGCACCATAGGTTTGGAATCAATGTTTTCCAACTCCCCTAGATGGACCCTGTATTTCCACTAACCCGGTTAAAGCGCTTTTCGTCCTCCCAATTTCGTAAACAACACCCCTGCCACGAGAAGGCAGTATTAGAAAATTCTGAATTGTCACCTAGTTTTCATCTGACACACATTAATTTCAATATTTTATTTATTTTATATACACAATTATCATTTTCAGGATGTGCATTTAATTACATTTTAGCATCATAAATAAAGTTGAGCATAAAAAGTAGACGTTTTCATTGAAGTGAACTATAGTTTATGTCCCATAAAATAAGTATAACATCATAAAAACAGGGATTATTCAAATTAATGTCTTTACCATTGAATATACCTCTCTGTAAGATCTGTTTGTTGAAAATACCATAATGTAGCAATTGTAAATGATGTATTAACGTGTCTACTTATTTACGCATCTTCCTCCTACCTTGAATTTATATTTGATTTTCTGTAAAATTGTCGGCTTGTTTTAAAACAAGACTTAGTGATTTTCCTCCTAAGAACGCATAGTATCTACGGTTCATTTTTTTTAAAAAAAGGTGTTACATAAATTAGAATACAGAGACTTTTCAAGTATACATATAATATTATCAAATTGTATAATATACAACTAGGGAAATACTGCCCCCAAATTCCCTGGTACGGCCGAGAGTAGGGACAGTCCGCTCTCCCTCTCGAAATGCTCTCACATGGCCACGCGTATATAGCCTCTGCCAGGGAAGTCCTACTCACTAACTTCTCGTGGCAAGGGTGTTGTTTACAAAATTGAGAGGACGAAAAGCGCTTTAACCGGGTTAGTGGAAATACAGGGTCCATCTAGGGGAGTTGGAAAACATTGATTCCAAACCTATGGTGCACATGGGCTCCCGTATCCTGAGGGAACAAATGGCGTATGAATCAATCGTTGGTCACCGGCTACCATGGGACTGCATCTACTCACGATGCTCCACTGCATTGTGAATCAGACTTTTAGGTCAAAGGCTCCGGGTGTAGTCCCCTAAGAAAACCACCTGTTTCAGTTTGGGCAGCTGAGCAGTACACAGCCTTCACACAAATCAAATGGGATTTGTGCGACGCATATGTATCTGGTGCCCCTTTGTACCAATATTTATCTGTTTCAATAAATAAATCTCCACAAAACCCCTTCTGATAAAAATAACAGTTAGTTTCATAGAACATTTCATCCTATACACATAGAATTCTAGATGGTTTACACATAAACACTTAACTTTTATTCTTTAGTTAGTTACTTTTTAATATCTAAATTGATCATGTATTTTTAGTTCGCTGAAAATTAGTAAATTATTGTTTCATTTAGGAGAATTAAAATTCTTGGCATTGTCTCATATGTTTTTTATTGATGATAATATAAAATTTAACAAGCATGACGGATTAACGCTAACACAATAACTCATTAGTAATAAAAGAATGAATAGATCTAAATTCAAAGTCAGTAGTATAATTAAGTTCATTTGTGTTTTCGCTTATTCAATTCCTTTTCTGCGTTTCATATACTACTTCCTAATATTCAGTAACTAGTTTCAATTCTGACAACCTTTGAACATAAAGAGCAGCATACTCTGTTGTTGTTTAGCATTCTCAAGTATCCTCATAAACCTGTGATATTCAATCTCCTTATAACTGTAACTAAAACTTCTTGACATTTGCGACAGTTACCTCCGGCTTTAACCCATTCACTGAGTCTTTATTTGGTTTGTAACAGTTTTCACGTTCTCAGTTGTTAACAGCCTTTGTCCCGATTATTGGCAATCACTATAGATGCGCTAAACGCTCCAAACACCTCATAAATAAAAAATTGCAACAATTCTGTATATATTTGTGTAATGGTAATACCGCCTTTTAGATGAAACTTACTTTTAATCCAGATTTTCTCCACTTAACTTTATCGTGTGGTCCGACGCTCTGATACGGTTTTACAATATTGTGTTATTGAATTACAACAGATTGGGACAAATAATAATGAAGCAATTAGACTGTACAATAATTGGACTAATCATTTGCCACGAGAAGACAGAAAAATGACACATATCCGAGGTCCTAAGTCTGTAAAACACTCAATGACCCTCAGATAATAATCGATACCGATAGATCGTAATGTATGTAATCTCTAATGATGTTCATTTTGTCGGATATTTATTTTCGTACGAGGAAGTGCTTCAATTTTTCTTTTACAAAGAAAACGACTGTGATTGCATGGTCAATTGATCGGGTATTTTCTATTGTCAGTCATAAATGTAACAAATCAGTTGACTCAATTTTATGAGCAATTGCTGGTTGATTAAATCATAAAGTTAGGCTTTACTAATCGATTATAATTCTGTGGATCATTTTAACAGCCGAATAATGGCCATCAATCACAATTCTTCACAATCCAAGAGGATGTAAAAATTCTACTAGACAGAAGGAAGATAATTGAGATTTTAACACATAGGTGATTAATTTCAGTTTATTGAAAGTACAGATGTGATGGTCCAACAGTCGGGAAGATATTGAGAAAAAAAGATCTCTTAACACGTAATTGCACTTGGCAAAAAACACCTACGTCAGTATGTAAGGATTTAATCTAGTTGAAAAACTGACGGTGACTTAAGTGAACTGTTCAACCATACTTGGCTGTTACGATTTCGCGGTTGTTAAAATAAGCAGCAAAGTCAATATTGTAAACGAAAAAAATGTAATGCAAGATGATCGAGTTAAAACTGGTCAATATAAAATCATCTTTATCAAACAAAAGAACTATACAAAAAGATTCAAAGTCCATAGTTTTGTCTTTCAAATCCTGATTATCAATAATCAATTCATCAACATCAATCATTTAGTACAGCCATAACATGAGAGCGGTTAGCAAATATGCCTTATTTTAGAAGAATCCTATTGAAGTTAAAACTCACCTGATTTGACACCATATACATTTTCCAAAGTTTGATTGATGTGATTCTTCATATTCTTTATATTATCTACAATGGAGTTGATTTTAGCTGTTTCTTTTTCAATTTTTGTTAGGCATGTTTTAAGCTGAAAGCACGACAAAACATTTGGTAGAATATATATGATCTAAAGACAAATAATTCATATATTTCACACGAAGACCAAGATAATATATGGTCTGTTATCTTCAGTGAAACCAAAAAATAGAACATGGTTTACGAATCACTACTGAAGTTTTGCACATCCTTATAAGTTACATATACTACTGAATTAATTTGGTTAAACTATATTAGTTATTAGAGATGGCAAGAAATAATCGGTTCTCTAAAACATCTTTTTTTACAATGTCATCTTGTTGAAGAGTAATTCAACAAAGTATATAAAACGTATTTTTAGTAAGTTGTTGGAAATTAGACAAATTAATGGATCATATATTTAGTGGAATAGAGCAATAAACGAATCAAAACTTTATTTCTAAAAGTTAGAAATCATATTTATAAGGAAATCTTGCCGTTACAGGGATAAAGGCTACTAGTAGGAAGTTCTAAATATAGATCCTAATGTTTTTGGGATTAAGGCATATTTTAAGCAATAAGAACACCAATATTATCACTTGGGAGATGTAGTGGTTCAGAACTGTTGCTCAGACCTATATTCACAAAACGGAAACAATGAATAGTTCACTTGTAATGCTTCATTTAAAGTGATTAGGATATCTATGACATATCAAATCAAAGCCTAGCATCACAGGTGGTGTTTGCTAGTGTGAGAGTAAGTTGGAAATGACCGAATCAAGGCATGGCATCAGTTCATGAAATCACTGAATGTTTGACTGAATCGTGTAGGTAGGTGCACACTACCTGATTAGGGTCAGAACGATTATCGTAACTAATGGTTGGAGATGTTGGGTGACATGGCTTGTGACCGATTGAAGTGGGACAGATCCACTCACTCTCGGTCTCCCCTTAGATATTGAGTTTTTAAATTATCATGTTGAGTAAATTTCTTCTTTCCTTTCGAATGACATTATCCGTGCTAAATCTTTCCTACTATTACTGTTTCTTATGCTACTCTTGGATTTGTCGATGTGGTAATACAGTACGGCAACTTGAACTAATGTACATATGTGTCATTTTCTAAAATGATCATGACTGACAATTTCGATAATAGGAAACACAAAATAACAACAGATACTCACATATTGTAAAATCCGTTGGTTAGTTGTTACAATAGTATAATGAAGCAGTTTATAATTTGATAACTAAATCAAATTTTTAATCACAACACTTCACTGAGTTAGTCATTTATACTTAAAACGTATGGTGAGGATCAAAATGAACAAAGAACAATATAAGATGACGAATATTTGTCATAATGAGGCATTTTACTTACTATTGTAATTCTATTCGTGTAAGTGATAATACGATTTTCAATAGCTTTGTCACGTTTTTCAGAGTATTCTAACTGGAGTTCATCATCTTTGAGAACTACTGAAGAATTCAGATACAGTACTTTACTGACTAAAAATATCTGAAATAATCTGATTTATATTCATTGAGGTATATTTACATCGAAAGAATCAAACATGTCTACAAGACGGTCTTCAAGTCTTTCTTTTAAGTAGTAAGTGAGCGACTGAAGTTTTTCTGATGTAAATTTTAATCCAAACTAAAAGAAAGAACATTATAAAATTAACAGAGAAGAGACCAAACTTTATCTGATAACTTCTCACTGAATTCATCTATCATTTGTCCCAAATGAGTAATGATCACATTGTATACTAAAAAGAATGTTGAATAATCACAAAAACGGGAGGATTACAATCATCTGAAAGTTGAAGAGGTGCAAACCCAAGTAGCTTCGAAACATATTCTTGTGCAACCTCAATTGGAACGGATAACGTCTGTACTTCACTTTTGTGCATTATGAACAACCAACCAACACGAATTTACTTATGTCTAAATAAAATTCACAAATAAGTGAATAAGTTGGCTTAACATCATTACATGTAAAACAAACAATAAACTAAACGAAATAATAATCCAAAAAGTATACGCAGTGGGAAGTTTTATATATATGCCAGGTTGATTGATTACAAGTTTTCAGACCACTTACAATTTATTGGTTTATGGCGTACACAATTGATTACGCAAAAAAAGATGACAAATGCTGTTTGTATTTATTGAAGCACAAAAGAAACTGAATAAAACGGATATGCCAGGTAACGTGTGAAGAAATAGGACGGGATATAATTTAACGAAGAACTTTTAAAACAAAGTCTAAGGGTAGAAAAAATAAAGTCTTCGTTTTGTTTAGAAGTTAATTTCATTGTAAATGCAAACAAGTAGAGGAAACTGCAGTAATATTTTAGAGGTATATTAGACGGTGTTTTAAATAATTGAGGTGTAATGCTTTTGACTGTAATTAGGGGTGTTACATGTATCAGTATATGTCAAATAGTCTCATAAACCTATTTCCACTTTAAGGGGCAAAATAATAACGAGCTTTATGTGCTACTTTCGGAATTCCGATTAACAATGTTTTAAGTGATTTGGAATGACTCAAATCAGTAGTGAGAATGGTTAACTAAATTGCTTTTTGCCATCAAGATATCTGGAACAAAAATTGGGTAAAGTATTTTGCGGTTGACTCACGGTAGATAAGTTACCAGAATGACCACTACCCGTTGTAACCCATATATTATGCTAGATCTCTAACTTAGAGTGATGCCCTAAAACTCGTAATTAACTTGAAGAAAAAGAAGATCACGACATCTTTTGAGTATAGTGATCTTGTTTTTTTTAGCAAGATCACTAAAAGTTTCTTGGTTAAGTTTCAGCTTGAAGCAAACTATTACCTAAAGTGGTTACGTCAAGTGGGATTGGTAGACCTTACCTAACTTTTCAGTTTTTACACGATTATCCTATGCGCACACAAATTCCTAGGGGTAACAATTTTTCATCACAATTAATCGATAAACTTGACCCAAGTAACATGAAATTATTTTGTGAACAACTTGAGTGTTAAAACGAGAGAAGTTAAGGTATGTCTTAAGTATAAACACAATCGAAAATGACAAGTATGACCTTACGACTGATTTGAAAACAAAGTTAAACGGGCTGACTTTTGTTTTTTCTCTTAAGTCCTAGATGAATTATGTAAGGCGAACGCACAAAGCTTGTTTATCCTTTACGTCACCCACAGAGCTACTGTGGAGCGGTTCATTTTTTTTACTTTGTGGATACAACATGAACTTTGAAAGCAAAAAACACTTATAAGTTGCAATTACCCGACTATGGAGGCTTACAAAAAACTGCTGCCCTTCGAAGCAACCATTATTAAAGTATACACCAATCTTTATACTGAGATTCTTATCCATTACTTTTAAGTCAACTTATCTTTTAGTTTTCCAGCGCTCCTACAAGTGGCCAATTTTTGAGGAAAAAGGAAATTTATGGGAGCACACTTTTCCGGAATCAAGTGTCTCATTTTAGAGTTTATTTATCACCAAACATGAATTTTCCTAAGACTTTTGAAAAACGTTTTCCGAAAGTCCGATTTCAATCAGACAAAATTCTCCTCGGAGGCATTGCGCCAAACTTGTCTATGTTCTGAGGGAACAAAATAGACACTCCGCCCAAATGGTCTACATCACCAGTGAAGAGTAGACTTTCCGCCTAAATTTCCCTATTATCGATTAATTGGGTTACCCTAAACTTTCGCTTAAAACGTAATTTGAGTTTCAGTTTGGAAAAGACAGAAGGTTAGGTGGCCTGTGTTAGTCTTGGTAATGATGGTCACTCAGTTGATCCAACTTTCTTTTGAAGGAGTCGACAGATGGAGTTTTGATCATGTATTGAGGTAATGAATTCCACTCGTAAATGATTCGATGGTCAGCTAAGCAAGTAATTTGTTTTGGGCTCATGAAATTTTTTGAGGTGCCATCGTAAATTCTGTTTTGAAAGACGGGTAAAATGAAGGTATATCAGATGCAAATCTATCAATAAGTAATTTGAAAACTGTAATCAAGTCACCTCTGGTTCTTCGATATGATGATGGAAAAAGGTTTTGCTTAGCCATCCGAGCATCTGTTATATCTTGTGGTCAAGTGGAAGCCTAGTTAATGTGTGACTTGATAAGACCGCCAATCAGGGAGCAGCGAATTACCGATTGGAACAGTGACACACGAAACCGTACGAGTAGTCCTAGAATACGTATTGGCCCCGCGATCTGCCTGTTGTATCTCGAAGAGAATTGTAAGTGGTGACTTTTGAGGACTATTTGTGGACCAATGTAATACGTATATTTTCTATTGTATAATCGTCAAGTAACTAACCTAATCATATTCATGTTCCTCTTATCATTAGCTTTATTGATTACTTTCCCCCCTATTCACAGCCACATTGGCTAAATATTGTACAAATGTTATTTTTTATTTTATGGTACGATGTGGTCTGTTTGGTTGGTATATAAACCCAGTATGTTTGTGAATAATGATTCATACCATAGAGGCTGTTATTAGTGTTTTTGGACTTAACTGACTGGGTTAGGCAGACCGCAGGGCTGATACGTACTCTAGGACTACTCGTACGGCTTCGTGTGTCACTGTTCCAATCGACAATTCGCTGCTCCCTGATTGGCGGTCTTATCAAGTCACATATTAACTAAACATCCATTCGGCAACAAGAAATAACAATTGGCGACGGGTCAAAAAAAGATCAGTCGTTAATTGGTCGAAAATCGGGCAATTATTTTGTGCAATCAGCATTGTCTTTGGTATTCTTGAATGCCATTTGTCATTATTCATACAGTGAAAAATGACGCTCCCTTCTGACCGATTACAGTTGCTGTTTGACCGACATTTGGAGTTCATGGTCAAATTACGCACACAGTTTTTGGATCACCAGTGCTTCGCAAGAATACCGTATACAAAGTAGAAAACGTTTTAGCTTCGACATGGCTGAACGCCCTATGTATTGATTATAGGGTTCTAAAGTCTTTAGCGGATATTGCACGGCAGTATGCAGTAGTTTTTAAGTCTTGGTTAATGATGGCTCCTAAGTCATTGTGTGTTTGGACAACAGATAGTTCAATGTTATTCATCGTGTATGTATCTGTTCCTTGATATGCATCACAATACACTTGGAAGTATTTATGGGTAAATGTCCAATTTGAGACCATTCGAATAATTCCTCCAGGTCATTTTGAAGCTATAAGCTATCACCTTTATTTTTTATCGCCAGTATATAGCAAGACCGATGATGATAGGAGACGAGGAATAACACTGGTTTTAAAAACTGTACCTTGAGGCACTCCGTTAAGCATAGTTTCCCAGATAGACAACTTGGAGTTCCCCCATACTGTTTATTGGCGCTCAACTAGGGATTTTTTTAATCTACATTAATAGATTGCCTCCAACCCCGACATTTGTTGACTTATATAACAGTAGGTTGTGAGGAATTTTGTCAAAAGGTTTGTAGGCTACAACTGTAGGTAACTTTTGGTCTTTAAGAATGCACCAACTTTCACGAGCCACTACTAAGTTAATGAGATAGGAGTAATCTATTCTAAAGCCATGATGTCTCTCTGAAAGAATCCGGTTTTCTTCGAGATACGTAAATAAATCCTTCCGAATAATCTTTTCTAAATTTTAACAATCACACTAGTTAGGCTAATCGGTTAATAGTTCTCAGGTTTATGCTTTGTACTTATTTTGAAGACAGGGCTTGCTATGGTGTCCTTCCAGTCTTCCGGTAATCGACCCTGGGTAACGGTTCGATTAAAACATATACTTAAGGGATTCACAACGAAATTAACTAGTTCCTTTAGTAACTGTTGGGATGACCCTGCAATTTTCTCGCAATCGACATGACAAGCTCATGAAACATCAAGGAGCATTTCAACCAATCAGCGACTGATTAGAAGTTATGTTACTAAAATAGCGAAAATGAAAAGTCACATGTAGAGATTCTGATTGGCTGATAACTACACTGCGACTATGTTGAGTAGTATTCTGGAATTTTCAGTACAACCCAAAGACTTTTAAAATACTATAAAAACATAAATGAACCCTGTAGTAAAGTGCTTCCTAAACATTTTGTGCCTTTTCTCTCGTCTTCAAGTCGCTGTATAGTTCTAGCTCGGGGGTTATGGAACTAGCTTAGGGAAGCGAATATAGCGTTCAATCGGTGAGACGTAACAAATTGGAGACGGGGATGGGATAAAAAAAATACAAGAATTGGGACGTGATTCTGGCAAAAAATACAACAATTGAGACGTGATTTTGGAAATAAATAAGCTGTAATAATTGCCGGCGGTTTATTGGAGTTATCATTATTGTCAGTGAAAAAAAAGATTTCTCTAGAACTTATTATTTATTTATTTAATCACATATATATTGGTACAAAGGGCACCGGATACATATGCGCCACACAAATAATGAGAATGGGAGGAGAAGGAAGAAGATGTGTATATATAAAAGAAGGAAACAAAGAGAGTAATGATGGGAGGAACTGAAATGTACAACCGGAAGAGCTCTCTCAGTTAAGAAAGTTATAGTCACTCTTTATGAAGAGAGTAAAAGAAGGTTACAGCAGGCTCGCCACTGGCTTCTATTCTGAGCCATATCTGATAACGTCTCTAGCCACTGTGTTGCACCATCTCTCGGACCCCAGCTAGGGAGTCGTGAAGGACCAACAGAAGCTAGCCCTTTGCAGCTTTCTTTCATGCCACGATACCATGTCATACACTGACCTCCTCTTCGCTTTTTCCAACCAGTCCCAGAGTCGGCAAATAATGCACGACGTGGAAGTCTCTGGGACGACATTCGTAAAACATGTCCAAGCCACCGAAGTCGGTGTTTCAAGATGGTGACACCAATTGAATTATCGTCTCTGCGCCCGAACACACGATGCCGAACCTCTGCATTACTAACATGATGTTCCCATTGGATGTCAGCAATCCGTCGGAGACGACGATGATCGAACACAGAGAGACGTCTAACATCCTCAACTCGGAGAGGCCAGGTTTCACAAGCACAGAGCAAAACTGCTCTCACCGACGCGTTGTAGATCCGACCTTTTACAGCCAGACTAACATCACGAAGGCGCCAAAGATGACCCAGATTGGCATAAGCCGCTCTGGCTTTCATTATACATGCATCAACCTCATCACTCACGCCACCACCAGCACTTATGTAGCTACCTAGATACACGAACTTCTCAAGTACTTCAATCTGCTCACCATCTAGGGTGAGTACAGGATGAGAATCCTGCCAGTCTT